TCCTCCCCCCCCCCCCGGGGTGACGAATTATAGATCTGAGAGCTCGCCCAATTCCCGGATGTGAGGGGAAACCGGGGGGGGTGAAACCGGAACCGGATCGTGGTGTTAGCCCAACAATGAATCATCACTCTCAGGATTCGCCGGAACCCTATTGTGGGAGCACACAAGCGTTTGTTTGTTATGATGTGTGGTGTCACAAACCGGATTTTGAACAACAAGTGGGTTGAACTCAAAGGATTGGACAAATTAGGGGAAATATTGAGGTCTGACGGAACTTTGGATCGGTGGTGTGTGATAATCGGGTTGTTCAGGCTTTATTCTCTCTGTGTGTGTCTGTCGTCTCTCTCTGTCAGGGTTCATTTATCAAATCGGATTTGGTATAGACAGACCAGACGTCTCAGAACCGGACCCGTTGTAAAATGTCGGATGCACCTTTAGCTCAACGGAAGAGCGGCTTACTTCGAATAAGTTGATAGTGGTTCGATTCCCCTAAGGTGTCCTCACGTGTGTTGTGTTCTCAATTTTAATCTTGATTGAGGGCTGATGTTGATTCATTGGATTCAGGTCTTATTGTCTTATCGGGTCTGGAGTATTATTCTTTGGTCTTATTTGGGTTTTCCTTGATCTGATCTTCCCCTCCCCTGATCCGTGGTATTAATGCTGGGTTGGTCCGACACCCACCCCTCCCCTCCACCCCCGGGGGAAACCCCTTTTGGGGGGGTGGTGGTGGTGGTCATTTTTGGTTTTCGTGAGGGCCTCGGATTCGGGAAGTTTGAGTCTAGTCCGGTCAATATTTGGATCGTGGTTGGTCTGAACCCTCCCCCAGCCCCAGCCTACCAGCCCTCCCCCAGACCAGCCAGACCGGGTCGGGCAAAGAACGGGATACGCTTGGATCTGGAATGATTGGATATTTGAGCAAATTTTCGGGCTGGGTCCCCGGGGTTGGCCTCCCGGGGAGTCCGGGTTCCGCAAGCAGCGTCACAACCAATCGTAAGTCGTGTTGCAACACGCGTAGTACTGCTTGTGGGGCCCCGTG